TCCTCTCTAAAAATTAAAAAAATATAAAGTGAAAAAGAAAGATGAATACTCTGGATGTTTTGTTTCTCTCTGCAAATGATAAATTAAATTTCTGTTTTAATCACAGTCTAAGAGTTTCCTCTTGGACCTGATCACCCAGGTAAACCAATTAATCAGACACTGTACTCTCTGTGCCCTGGATGGAAAGAAATGCCTCAAAGTTTGGGTATTCCAGGATACCTAGGTGGCCTGTCTATTTAGCTTTTCTTAACTGCCAGGCATTATTTTGGTACAAATAATGCCCTTTTGAGATTCTTCTAAGTAGCCCTCTATAGTAAAGCATTTGACTGAATTAACTCTCAATACCTATGCTCTTGTCGTTGTGTGTAGAAAATATCAGAGAGCGTTATGGAACTCTGACAGGCGAGCTGCATATGATTGAACTGGAGAAAGGCCGGAGTGGTTTGGGTCTAAGTCTTGCTGGGAACAAAGACCGATCCCGGATGAGTGTCTTTATAGTGGGGATTGATCCAAATGGAGCAGCTGGGAAAGATGGTCGGTTGCAGATTGCAGATGAGCTTCTAGAGGTAATTTCTTATAGAAAATGCTGAATTTACTTTTGCAAAATTGGTGCAGTGGAATCATCAGTTTCTAGAAAATTCACCTGAGCCTCATATGGTGATGGAGAAAACTATCGCTTGACTAATAAAATAGACGCATTACAGCAAAATTGGCACTAAAGTGAATCTCTACTAAGTAGAGCCCATGTTCCCACTAACTTCCATTTAAAGGTCATGACTGTGTAGCACCAGAAACAATTTTTGCCCTAAGACAGTAATAAAGAGTACACTTCAAAAACATTTTTTTGTGTGCTGCTTTTTTATTAGGATTTTTGAAAAGCCAAATGACCCCATCACTCCCCAGTAATGAGACTGACCCACTGGACATACTGGAAATTGAATCCCTAATGGTACAAGTGATGGATGTTGGGTGCATTGGGGTCAAGGTTAAAGCTAAATAATGAAAACAGTAACTCTGCCTGCCAAACAAAATAAACTTCTGGAGCATATTTTATAGTGTTTAAAATTGTATTTGCTTGTTTTTGTTTGCCCTTGCCTCCTGTGGGCTGGGACTACATGTTTTTATATTGCCGTAATACTTTTCCCTGGACCTTGTGTATTTTCCTTTTGGTTAGAAAGGCTCAGTTGGTAATGGATAAATGACTAGAAGACAGGCACTTTGCATCAGGTACTGTGCTGCATAGACACAATGTGCTGCCAAATCCCGAATCTACCAGCATTGTTTCTCCCGGTGGCCTATGCCCAGGACTTGAGTTCTGAGACAAACTAGAAAATATGACAGCAGGGGCCTCCTCAGGATGCTCCGTGCAGGTTACACATGCTTCCGCAGAGCCCTTGCTGTGTACAAAGCACGCTGGAGCCCAGTGCCTGCCAGGAAACTGACTCTCTGCTCTCCTCCAGGCAGTCCAAGGGCTGCCTCCTTAGTCCATGGAGATCAGACCATACGACACCATTTTAATGTTGGCTTCTAACACGAGCTTTTCTTTAATCACCATCAAAGTCATGTTCATGTTCTGGGAAGGAGGTTGTGTGTGTGTATAAGTATACATGCATACATATAATATTTTAAAGGAAGAAATCATGTGTATTTCATTAGCTGGATAGGATGATAAAAATTTATAAAATTAAAATTCCAGGCTCAACTCATGATATTTCCCATAGATCAATGGTCAAATTTTATATGGAAGAAGTCATCAGAATGCTTCATCAATCATTAAATGTGCCCCTTCTAAAGTGAAAATAATCTTCATCAGGTGAGCATTTTCTTTTTCTGGTTTACTAAATAGTGGTCGTTAGCCTTTCAATTCTGAGTTCTTTTGAATGAAAATAAAACATTTATAAATGTGTTAGTGTTGCAGTTCCAGGTCTTTGGCGTTGCATAATTTTCTCTAGGAATCCTTCTGATTCTTAAAGATTGAAAATAATATGATATGACAGGTCAATGCATTTCCTTTTAGGAATAAAGACGCAGTGAGTCAGATGGCCGTATGTCCTGGAAATACAGTAGAACCTTTGCCTTCTACCTCAGAGAATCTTCAAAATAAGGAGGTGCGTAGCTCGTGTTTGTTTCTCTGGGAAAATGTGATTGATATGCCACAAGGCCATCAAAAGATAAGTAAGTCAAAGCCTTGGCCCCCATGTAGGTTATAGCCTAGTGCAGGAAGCACTCGAGCAAGTAAGCTCACCACTTACGTGAGGGTTAGTAGTAGAGTTTACATGGGGAATAATAAAGGTTGAAGAGGAGGCGTTAGTTCTATCTCTAGAGAGAAGCAGAAGACTTGGGGGCACAAACCTTGCAAGCAGAGCGCATGGGTTGAGGAGCGGCGTGGAAACCCTGGCAGTGCAGACAGTTGAAACTGCAGAGCACACCGAACAGTGGGAGGCAGGGTGGGGAGCTGGTGAGGAAGCATCACTGAGACGGGAGGAGGAAGGGTCAGATCATGGGAACATGATGAAGACTTGTCTTGGAGGCATGTTGTTGGGAACTCAGAGAACTGAGAATTGTGTTTCTAAAGACTTCTCTGGAAATGGTGCAGAGAAAAATCAGAGGTTTCAGGGAAGAGAAGGAAGTTAAAGGGAGTAAAAAAATTATCAGAGTAGTTCAGGAGAAAGATAAGGTCCCAAGCTAATGAAAAAAAGAAGGAAATGATTACCTCAAATGTTTACGACCCAAATGGACATTACTTCATCCCCAACTAAATGTATTCACTGAGGAAAAATGAGTGGTCAAGAATTTATTTATCCAACAAGTATTTATTGGGTACCTGCCTTGTATTAGGTTCTGTTCTCGGGGCAGGGAATAGACTAGCAAATGAAACAGATAAGATGTACAAGGCTTCCAGGTGGCTGGCTTTTACCAAAATAGAAAATAAATAAATAAAAAGAGGAACACATATTTGTGAAAATAGAAGACATGCATTTGAAGCAGCCTAAGAATGAAATACGGTATACATTGGGGCGTTTGCTCTCGAATTTAGAGATGAATTCCCTTAGATGCAGATTTGGCATGAAAGCTGAAGTTCTTGCCTGCAGAGAACATTTAGACGAAAGCCAAGGTCAGGGTTATGTAGTAACAATCGGGAAGAAGGCTGACATGTCACCGAGTGCTCAGAGATGATGACGGGCCAGGCAGACATGCTGCAGAGCAGCTCAGGAGACCACATTTCAAGAAGGGTATATTCCACAACCTTGAGTGCTGCAAAGAGGTCAAGTAAAGAGATGCTAAAAGAACGTCCATCGGACGGCAATTAGGAGATTATTAGTGGTTTTTGAGAATGCAAATAATGGGTAAGAAGTTGGGAAAAAGAAGGCAGAGGCTAGAGGGTGACAAAAAATTGAGAGTTTTTTGGTGGAAATTCTCTTTTTATCTGGAAAAGCTTTGGGTACCTGTTTCTGATGAGTAGAAAGAGGTAATAGAGAGAGAAAAGTTTTGATGGTTATCAGTGAGAGAAGGTGTAGGAAAAGAAACACTCTTCCCTAAATAAACATTTTATCTCTACTTAAGGTAGGTGTATGAACGAACGATTGTCTCCTGGTGAACTGAATCAGGTGGCTCTTCATGATTATAAAGGAGAAAATTTTCTTTTCCTGTGGGTTGTACCAAATATGTCCCTTAAGAAAATGGAGTATTTTAATACTTTTCAGGTGAAACATTCATTAGCTCCTAAATTCACTTGATGACTGACACAGTCAAGAACAGTGAGTGGTACCTCTGTTGGTGTTCTGTATTTCAGTGAGTTTCCTTGTTTGGTAGCTGGGCTGCCACTAGATTTCATCATAGCGCAAATCCAGGCAACTTGAAAACCACATTCTGTCTCTGTGCTCTGAAATAACTGCTGTGTGATCACCCCTCATTAGTATTTTGGAGAGAATATATTGTCCATAAATGTCATAAAGTGTTAAAATAGTAATAATGAATTGCAATATGTGAAATACTTTTAAGTGGCCCTTATATTTAAACAAACAAAAATACGTAATGCTCCATTGCCCATTTTGCCATTTCTTTCTCTGTGTCAGACTGAACCAAGTGTTACCACTTCCAGTGCAGCTGTGGACCTCAGTTCATTTAAAAACGTGCAGCATCTGGAGCTTCCCAAGGTAAATCTGCTTTGATTTGGAATGAAATGATATGAGGACCTTCACACCATTGTTTTAATGCACTGGGTCTCAAAAGTGTGGTCTCCAGACCAGCAGCAGCATCATTATGTGGGATCTTGTGAGAAATGCAGATGCTTGGCGCCACTCAGACCTACTGAATGAGGAACTCTGGGGGTGGCCCACATTCTGTGATTCAATAAGCCGCCTCTGTGATTTCAGTGAACGCTGAGGTGCGAGAACCACTATGCTAATTGATGTTTTAGCAGGGATCCAAGGTATGAGATTTCATTGCCTCTCCTTTGATCTGTGGACCAGGGATCTGCCATGGGGGAAATTAAAGAATAAAGAAACAGAAGTCACAGGTTTTTCCTTCATAAAACTGAAAGCTCCAGTGATAGAAGTTTCACTGATAGACGTCAGTGAGGTATCTGCTTTTGAGAAGATCTGAACCTTAGGTTCCAATGACCACTTTAAAGAAGTGGTTTGCTGACTAGAAACCTGCCAGTGCACTCAGGTGCTGCAGGCTCCTGCTGGACTGCAGGTGGACAGTGGGTGAATGAGAGCATAGGTGGGAAGAGCGACAGAGTACTGAGGGGGGAGGGGGGAGGGGGGAGG